TCCAAACCTACACGTCATAGATTTACAGAAAAAGACATCGGCCAACCATCATGTCTGTCTCCTAGGCTGGCTCCTTCTTACGACATCCCTACAGTAGTAGAAAATACAAAAACTGAGGGTCACAGTGTTTGGAGATATGCAAAAATAAATCACCCTGTGTATAACAGACATATGTTGTGCTTTTTCTTTATCTTTTTAAATTTTTCTATGATGTTATATAAAATGGTGTCAAATATTATCAAACATCGGTCTCACCCAAACGAAACATCAAAGTGCAGGTTTACATTCTGTTCAGATATTCAGACAGCACCTTGTCAGTATCACAATTACTAGTCCCAGGGGACTCCAGTAACTTACCCGTTTTGAATAGAATCTTTTTCAAGGACCGTGATGTATATAAAGGACATAAGGCGCAATAATTTCTCTTTGCAGCTACCTTCTAGAACTTGAGAGATATGCTATCCTAGATTGGTTATTATGTCTGCCACAAAGGGGTAAGTGAGCTCTTTTGATAATTTTTATAATTATAAATAAGTATGAATGAAATTCTATTGATGTATTAATATTTTTGTTTATTTCAGTTCCAATGGGACCCTAGAAAATATGCTGCTCTCTTAAGAGTTTTTGTGATCTCAGCGGTGCTGTCTGAATATCTGAACAGAATGTAAACCTGCACTTTGATGTTTTATTTGGGTGAAACCGATGTTTGATAATATTTGACACCAATTTATATAACAGTATAGAAAAAATTAAAAAGATGAAGAAAAAGCACAAAATTGATCCACTTTGAACATACATCTATTATACACAGTGCTATATATTTTTGCATATATGGTTCCTTCTTAGGTCAAACATGGAATTCACTGCCACAGGAGGTGGTGGCACCTACAAGCATGGACGGCTTGAAGAGGGAATCGGATAAACATATGGAGCAGAGGTCCATCAGTGGCTATTAGCCACAAGGTATACATAGGAACTCTCAGACAGATTTCACACAAGAGTTGCGCCGCGGTCACGCCTCCCTTTGCCCCGCTTCTATTGGTCAATTTCCCACTTGAAGCCGTGTGGTCTCAGTCTGGGGCAAGGGATGCTCTGCATTCTTGGTTCTTGGGGGGGGGGAACGGTGGGAGGGCTTCTAGTGTCCTGGCCCCACTTCTGGACCTCCTGATGGCCCCTGGTATTTCTGACCACTGTGTGACAGAGTGTTGGACTGGATGGGCCACTGGCCTGATCCAACATTGGCTTCTCTTATGTTCTTGTGTTTGAACTAGGCAGTCTAGACCAGCGTTTCCCAACCTGTGGGACTCAGGACCCAGAAGTGGGTCAGGAAGTGGGTTGGAAGCCAGCCCTCTCTGATGGCTGCCCCAGCCTTTTGCATCCCTCTCTTTCCTTCCTCTTTACCAGCTTCTCACATTCTCCTCTTCCCCCCTTCTTCTTTGTTACAAGAATGGGGGAGGGCCTATCTGACAACTAGAAAGATCACAGTAGTGGCTGAAGGGGGGGAAGGCTGGAGAGGAGGTGGGGGCTCTTCAGCAGGCCACAGAAAAACCAGAGGAGGAAAAATCAAGACGGGTAGCCATGTTAGTCTGTATTAGGGTTGCCATCCTCCAGGTGGAGCCTGGAGATCTCCTGGTTTTGTAACTGATCTCCAGCTGACAGAGATCAGTTCCCCTGGAGAAAATGGCTGCTTTAGAGGGTGGACTCTACGACATTGTACCATGCTGAGGCCCAGGGCTCTTTTTGTAGTAGGAGTTCCTTTGCATCTTAGGTGACACACCCCTAATGTACCCAATCCGCCAAGAGCTTACAGAGCTCTTCTTACAGGGGCTACTGTAAGCTCTCGGAGGATTGGCTATATTAGGAGTGTGTCATCTAATATGCAAAGGAGTTACTGCTACAAAAAGGCGCCCTGCTGAGGCCCTTCCCCAAACCCCGCCCTCTCCTGGACCCACCCCCAAAGTCACCAGGTATTTTCCAACCCAGACCTGGCAACCCTACTCTGTATCTGTATCTGGAGAAGTGAGCAGTGACTCGTGATGGCTCCTTCCCTGCCTCAAATCTTGTTAGTCTCCTGGACTCTGGCCCTACAGAGGAGGATGGAGAGGCGTGGGCTTGCATGGGCTCGGTACTGCTCCTTCTGCAGCCCAGCCTCTTGCTTAGCCCCTGCAGTGCCTCACTGTCCTCCATCTGCTGTGGGAATTGTACTGCACAGAGCCCTTTGCCCCTTCATGGCCATCTGCCAGTGGTGGCAGCTACAAGCAGAGGCAGCCTCAAGAGGGGACTGGATAAACATAGGGAGCAGAGGTCAATCAGTGGCTATTAGACCCAAGGTATAGATGGAGCACTCTGTCTGGGGCAGGGATGCTCTGTTTTCTTGATGTTTGGGGGGGCAACAGTGGGAGGGCTTCTGGAGTTCTGGCCCCGCTGGTGGACCTCCTGAGGGCACCTGGGTTTCAGCCACTGTGTGACACAGAGAGTGCGGTCAGACGGCATGCCGGAGCGGTTTAAATTGCTCTGGCTCTAATCGGATCGTATTTTAACCAGGGCAAGCGCGATCACATTACCTTCTCTTGCCACGCAGCACATCGCTCCCGGGCGTCCGCACAGCAGCGCAGCGTCTGCATTTTTTCTTCTTCTTCACAGTTTGGGCATGTGCAGAACAACGTATCTGGAAAAGCATGCCCTGAAGCGAACACTTCCTTTTAAACTTTTATAACGAAACTGGCCTCCACGAGGTCCCGGACTCATCTAAAGGCTACAAGTAGGCACCATTGTTGTTGTTGTTTTACTAATGCCGAGGCGAAGCTTCGCCCAAGTGCACATTGCCTACAATTAAAAAAAAATGGTGGCTGAAAAGCGGAAGCCTCGGGCTTCCGAACGGAAGTTGCTCTACACCGGCGGAGATCGATCAGATGGGGAAAATGCGGCTAGAACCGGAGCACTCAGGATACCACCACTTGGGGACCTAGTGGCAAAGTACACCGGTTTAAGGGGTGTTTGTGATGGTTGGCAATGGCTAGGGACGGAAGGCAGATGTTCGCTGTGTGATCGCGCGTAAGTACTCTGATGCTACCTGGCATCTATACCGGCTTAAATGCCCCGTCTGAACGCACCCAGAGTGTGGGACTGGATGGGCCATTGGCCTCATCCAACATGGCTTCTCTTGGCTTATGTTCATATCAAAAGGGTTGGGAACCACTGATCTAGGCCGCAGGCAGTGAGCAGATGCCCGGCAAGCAGTGTTCCCTCTAAGCTGAGTTAATGTGAGCTAGCTCACACATTTTTTGTCTTAGCTCAGGAAGGAGGGCTCCAGAGCAAACTGATTTATGCAGCAGCCAAATCGCTTGCTCACAATTTTAATGCCAGCGGCTCACAAAGTTGAATTTTTGCTCACAGGACTCCACAGCTTAGAGGGAGCATTGACAGCAAGCTGCTCCAAATGACTCAAGCAACACAGCCGACCCCCCAGCTGTTGACGGAACGCCTTTCCGTTCCTCCTTTCATGCTTAAAAAGTTCCATGAAATCCCATAGTTTGCTTCTCATCTCAGCCACGAATGCCTTCAGCGAACAGCTGCTCTCTCGTGCATTCTCCTCTATCTCCAAAAGGACACTGCAGAGCTGGGAAAAGTACAGAGGAGGGCAAGCAAGATGGAGCACCTTCCCTGTGAGGAAAGGCTGAAGAGTCTGGGACTTCTCAGTTGAGAAAAGAAATGACTAACGGAGGACATGACAGAGATTTCTAAAATGATGCATGGGGTGGAGAGAGTGGACACAGGGAATTTTTTATCCCTCTTCAAAATACTTGAACTTAAGAGTATCCTCTCCAGCATTTCCCCTCCTTCAAAACGGACAAAAGGAAATACTACTTGACACACAGAGTGGTTAAAATGTGGAATTTGCTGCCAGAGGATATAGTGATGACCACAGAATAAACAGCTTTAAAAGGGGATTAGAAAGATTTGTGGAGGATGTCTATCAATGGCTACTAGCCATGGTGGCTGAGGGGAACCTCCACATGCAGAGCCACTAATCCTCTGAATCCCAGAGCCAGGAGGCAGCATCAGGGGAAGTCTTGGTCTCGGCCTCTGCGGGGTTCTTCTTATGTTCTTATCAGGGGAAGGCCTTGGCCTCTGTGACCTGCTGTTTGCCCTCTGAAGAAACTGGTTGGCCACTGTATGAGACAGGATGCTTAACTAGATGGACCACTGGTCTGATCCAGCAGGGCTCTTCTTATGATGTTCTTATCAGGGGAAGGCCTTGGCCTCTGTGACCTGCTGTTTGCCCTCTGAAGAAACTGGTTGGCCACTGTATGAGACAGGATGCTTAACTAGATGGACCACTGGTCTGATCCAGTAGGGCTCTTCTGATGTTCTTAGCAGGGTGTTGTGTGTTCTTAGAGAGTATACATGTGCTTGGGCTCGCTAAGAACTGCACAAGCGCAATTTCAGGTTCCAACACAATAGCGGGCGAGGATCCTAGGACGGACCTATCGGCCACCTCAGATCCAGCGCCCAACCTATGGAGATTAGTCACCTTGTAAATAGCCTATCACGGGTGGTGGTGTGTGTGTGAGGTGTGATGCATTTGGGAAATATAAGCAAGGCTTCGGCCCGGGATGTTTGTCTTGTGTTTTTCCAATAAACGATGAGCTGATCACTTACATGCGTCTGAACCCAGTATATTACACAGGGAAAGGCCTCGGCCTCTGTGCCCTGTTGTTGGCCCTCCAGAAGAATTGGTTGGCCACTGTGTGAGACAGGATGCTGGACTAGGTGGACCACTGGTCTGATCCAGCAGGGCTCTTCATATGTTCTTACATCCCCCCCATCTGCAATATGGGGATAGACATGCAGATCTACCTTACAGGATTGTTGTTAAGCATTCCTAAAATAATATATGTGAAGTGCTCTAAATTGCCAATAAGCATATTATTATTGCTTACGCAGCCCCGCAGGACAGAATGTGCCTACCTACACCCCCACACACACACTTAGCTTACCCTTCAAGCAGACACCTGTAGGTGGCAATCTCCTGCTCCAGTCTGGTCTTGATGTCCATCAGTCGTTTGTAGTCTTCAGCCTGGTTCTGGGCATCGGACCTCAGCTGCATCAGCTCGACCTCCCTGGCAGCGGCAAGGTCACGCAGCTGAGACAGCTCCGTGCCATAGCGGGATTTGGTCTCAGCCAAGGTACTTTCCAGGGCAGCTTTCTGGAAAGAAAGAGGGATGCTTTGTGTAACTTCCAAGGAGAAGACTGGCATCTCCTCACAGAGTCTCTTGAAAGCAGAGAGTGGATGAAGACCCTGAGGACAACTGTGGTGGCCTCACAGGTCTGCAGAGGGATGGTGAAAGGTGTTCTTACATATTCAGTCTAAGGAGGCAAGATGTTCAAGTCATGCACAGTGGCCCTGCTCATTAAGTCCCTGTCCTGCTTTTCTTTCATGCCTTTTCAAGGTTCTAGTCCTCAGCGTTTGTTCAAAATATGCCTTTGCAATATCACAAGGGGACTGCATGCTGTGGATTCTTAAACATACTGAAACATACAGTGCATTGGAACTGAGACAGACCACTGGTCCTTCTAGCTGGGTACCGTTTGCTCTGATTAGCCGTGGCTCACTAACAACCTGGTATCCACTAACAGGAGATGTTGGGGATGGAACCGGAGACCTGCATGCGAAGCAAGTGCTCTGCCTTTCACCTACAGCCCTCCTTAGGCAATAAGATGCATTCGGCTCCTTCTGCCAACCCCTCTTTGTCAGAGCATCTCTCTTCCTCAAAGGCTTCCCTAAGAGGTACGGGGGGGGGGGTTCAACATCATTGCTAAAGATGTCACACTGCTTCGAATACCTTGACCAGTGAAAACTAAATTAAGAGATTTTTTTTAAAATTAAAATGCTGAATTCTGTGTCCATTAAACAATTTTGTGTTTGTGCAGCCCTGGATTCCACAGCCCCTGGCCTTTTGAGTATGGAACCTGATCTTTGCATATGTGGAGATGATTCTTATTCCATACTCCATAGAATCAAACCAGATGAGATACCGGAAGCTCCAGGTCCAGAACGAGGGGTGTGCATTTGGCTATATCTGAGCTGGGGGGGAAATAGCTGAAAAGTACCTTATCAGTATTTTCAGCTGGATATAGATTTCAGTATTTTTTTCTAGCTATCCGAAATAGCTGAGTCCCAAATGTCCCGAAAATATTTGGGGGGTTTCGGGACCGCTGGATAGCTGAAGTTAAAGGGTGTAAAGGGATTGCAGTCTCTTTAAACACCTTCCAGGTGATCTCATGGCTTGGAGAAGGTATTTAAAGGGATTGCAAGCCCTTTAAACATTTTCAGAGTTCACTCATAGCTTGCAAAAGGCATTTAAAGGGACCACATTCCCTTTAAATGCCTTTCCCCCACTTCCATTGAAACCAATGGAGGATGGGGCCCCTTCTTTGGGGGCCCATGGAATTGGACCCCTGGTCTAATCTTTTTGAAATTTGGAAAGTTTTTTGGGGAGAGGCACCCGCAGCCTCTACCTAAAAACAAATGACCTCGCTGAAAGCGAATGGGTATGTCATGGACATATCCGAAATAAGTCTGATGGGCAAAAGGGTGGATAGACTCTCTGTAAGTTTGGCTTTTAAAAGCAACAAATGGAATGATCTCTAAGGCAAGAATTCAAGTGGATAACAGTCCTTGAAAAAGAAAAAGGGACTTTGTTTTGAGATGACCAGTTCCAGTTCCAGCAAGATAATGCCATAGGGAAGGTGTTCAAGAAGAAAGAAAATTACGGCGTGGGAAGAGAAACTGACTGTGTTACACCTACTGAGGGAAATTTAATTATCAATTTGCTTTAAATGAAGGAGGGGGAAACAATTGTAAAATGAGATGCCACTGTTCTCTGAAATTTGTGTTTAAGTTAACTAGCGATTCTCCTGGAATGCTCTTTATATAGTCAGATTTGATGGTTTGTTAACACAATCGATGATGATGATTGACCACTCTCAATGTTAAGAAAAGCAATTTCTATATTGTTAAGCTAATACTTTTATAAGCAGTGTATCACCTCCAACTCTTGGGTTTTTAGTGGGTTTTCTTTTCTTTCTTCTATAGTTGTAGATCCCCGCCCTAATTTCATTGTAGCTTTTAGAAAATGCAAATAAAAAATCCCCTACGGGGGGCCAAAAAATTTATTTTTTTAAATTATCTCGTAGACCCCCAGATACCCCCGGATTGATTCCCCATTATATCCTATGGGGACCATTGACTATAATGGTCCCCATAGGGTATAATGGAGCCGGGGGGGATCTTGATTTTCAAAAAAATCCTGAATCCGAATACCATGCCGGTATTGGGATTCAGGAATATCAGATAATACCAATATGTTGGGGTTCAATATACCCAAGCCCGAAAAATAGCAATTTTTGCACACCTATCCAAAACTCCCTGCATTTTTTTTTAAACTACATTACCAGGCACATGGGGGCCCAATTTGGAATGGGACCCTGGCACAAGAGTGTGTGTGTGTGGGGGGGAGTAAGTCTTCCTCCCACACGTGTCGTTTTCCCACTCTAAAATGGCCTTGTTGTGGCAAACACACTGGTATTCACACCTGTACTCCAAGCACAATGTTCCCTCTAAGCTGTGCACGTGAGCTGCTGCTCACTAACACAGGAAGCCCCACTCAGCAGCAATCTGGAGCCGCACAGGGGTCTGGCACTTCCCACTGCCCATTTTAAGATTACGGCAGTTCTGTTCTGCTCAGGATATGAACAGCTCCGCTCAGCAGGGACAAAAAAAATAGAGGGAACATTGATCCAAGGTGGCCCAGGCAATCCTGTTCTCATCAGATCTCGGAAGATAAGCAGGATCGGCCCTGGTTAGTATTTGGATGGGAGACCACCAGGGAAGTCCAGGGTCGTGACACAGAGGCAGGCGATGGCAAATCACCTCTGAATGCCTCTTGCCTTGAAAACCCTACGGGGTCACCACAAGTTAGCTGTGACTTGACTTTACACACACACACATTCCTGTGTCTCTCCAATATGGTAAATAACTGAAATAGTTGCTCCCTGGGAAACAGAAGCTCCTTAGGAAAGTGGTGGAGGAAGAAAGGGCTACACCCCAATGGTCCCTGTAAGCTGTGGAGTCTTGTGAGCAAAAAATTCTACTTTGTGAGCTACTGGCATTAAGGTTGTGAGCGAGCAATCTGACTGCTGCATAAACTAATTGGCTCTGGAGCCCTTCTTCCTGAGCAAGGACAAAAATGTGTGAGTTGGAGGCTAAAAAACTGTGAGCTAGCTCACACTAACTCAGCTTAGAGGGAACACTGCACCCCACTCCCACCCTCATGCCCTTGTCCAGATCCAAATCATGCCATAGTCCCCATCCCATGCGCTTGGTAACTGAGTTGTTGTCCTTAAATGGGGGGGGGGCTCCAGACCCAGGACTCCCAGCACTATCGGGTCGGGTTTAGACCTTCCGACAGAGACTAGCAAGTTGCTGCCTGCTGCTGACCATGTTGTGGAGGGACTGGAGCTCGATCTCCAAGGCCTGGGCCAGCTGCTTCAGCTCCATGATCTTCATCTGAGCCATCTGGAAGGCTTCAGTGCTGACCGCGACCTCCTGGCTGATGGCATCACACTGAGAGAGAGAGAGAGAGAGAGAGAGAGAGAGAAGCCCTCAGTCCACAGTCACTGCCCAAGTTTTGCACCGTCATTCCACATTTTGAGCCAATCCCACCCCCCACTTCTATCATGGATCCTGCTGACACCTTAACAGGC